AGTCTCACAAAGCAATTAGTAAGTTTTGCTTATTTGTCATTTGGGTCTTTAATTGTCCAGTTGTAAAGGAGAAAACAAACAATCCCTCCCTGCGCCCCACAAGCTGACACACATACTCTTTTCTAAACATATTGTATGTGCTTGGCTTGTCTAAAAGCAGGAGAAGGGTGTTAGTAAAATAAGTACTTAATAACTGCATGAGGAAATTATTAAAGGACATAGAGTTATTTTTTCTTAAGATAGTCCATAAGTGGGATACAGGATTTTTATGGCAGTGAAAATACTGTTTGATACTGTCATTGTGGATATGTATCATTACTCATTTGCCAAAACCTGGAGAAGTACTACCCAAAGAGTGAACCCTAATGTAAACTGTGAACTTCAGTTGATAATAATGCATCAGTATTTACTCAATTGTAACAAATGTGCCACATTAATCAAGATGATAGGAATAAGAGAAACTGGGTGGGGACAGAAGAGACATGCGGTAACTCTCTGTTCTGTTTGTCCTGTGTCTTCCCTTCCTTACAGATCCAGGAAGAGTTGTTGATTTTTCAGTCTGTTCAATTTTTTATTTTCTGTTAGGATAGGTTGGCAACTTCCAATCTCCTTACACAAGGAGTTGAAAACTGAAGTCCTAGTCATACATTTTGCAAATGTAATTTTAAGACTCTAATTTTACAAATATTGAAATAAAAAGCTAGCAGCCCTATGAATTAATGACAAAGAACTGTGACTCATATTTTTAGATTAAATAAGCTATCTTGTTTAAAACTATTCTCTGCATTAATATAGAATTTTTCTTTCATATCCAAAGGCCAAGATTTAAAATTTGGTAGAAATACGTAGTTCAGGCTTAAGTGAATTTGTATATTAGAAAAGGTAAAGCATGAAGCCAAAGGGAATGAAGCCAAACTTTTCTCTGAGACTTATGAGAAAATAAATCATATTTTCATGATAATTTTTCCTTCTGATTTCATGTATTTGAGAAAAGGAGACCAATGAAAATGGTGTTGGATGGAAGGCATGCTAGGAACATTGAGTCTGGTGATAGATCTGTGCTGTTATAACATTCCATCTGTTTACTAGTGATCTGAGACCCATTCTTTCACATCTAGGCTTGAGATTAGATTTTAACTCTTTGGATATTGTTCATTGCTTCTCTATCATATTCAGTCATTACAACCACACATAGTGTCTGCCTCTGTGCCAGCATCCTCCAAATTCCTGCTTCCATGGAACTTACTTTCTGGTGGGAGAAGACTAACATTAAAAAAACCAAAACAGCAAAGGAATCTAGACATTGTAACATAGTCAAATGGTGGTAACTGCAATGAAATAAACACCACGGGCAAAGGATAGGTAGTGTGCATGAGGGGTTTTCAGTTCTGAAAGGGGGCAGATAATTCCTCATTTAAATGTGACATTTGAGAAAAGACCTGGAGCATATGAGGAAGCAAGCCCTGCAGAGCTATGTGGGGAGATCATTCCAGACTGAGGGGAGAGCTGGGGCGAGGACTCTCAGGCTGTGGTATGATGCTCCAGAAAGAGCTGGAGTGGAGCGAGCCAAGGGCCAAGTGTTAGCGTGTGAAGTCAGAGAGGTAGTGGGCAGGAGTTATTCAGGGCACAGAGAGCTTGTAGCAGAGTTGACCAACAGATCAGGATTATAGCCCAAATTGAAAGCATCGTAAATAAAGAAGAAAAAAAAAGTGTTATTTATTACATACTTTCAGATATCAGAAATATTTGTGAGTGTATCTCTTCCTACTAGGTTTCAAGTTGTTTGACTTTGGGTTGTATATGAATGTTCATGTATATACATATACATGTGTAGGTATATATATATATATATGTATATACATGATGGTATATGTATAACAACCTAATGTGTAGGTTGTATGACAACATTTGGCTTGTTTGGTTGAGAATTCCAGGATAGAGTGGGCTCCTGACACTACAAGAGCCCCAGGGCCTGGTTTCTATCCTTCTCTGATCAACTCTGTTCTTTTCTTATATCAGCTTCATTCTAAGGCTTCACATAGTGACTCTGAGTACCTCCAACCTGCACACTTTTGGATTCAATATTAGAGAAAAAAATTTGCTACTGGTGGGAAGAGGGTTGAGATGGAGGGAAGAAACCGATTTTCTCCTCCATCAAGTAAGAGGGTCTTAAGTGTGGTTCGTATGGGCCTAAATTGGGCTGACTACTCATAATAGCCAGGGTGAAGGGGTATGCTGATTGACCTTTCTAGAGCCAGTTTCCCAAGAAAATTCCATTCATGTTTTATAGCAAGATATAATAGATCCAGAGCAGTAAAATAGCAGATGTTCACTAAAAAGAGGAATTCAAATTACCTTTAATCTGTAGGTCTCAATTTTATCTCCTCTGCAGGCCAGATAACTGTGAAATCACAGAGGACATTCTGATTTTCCAAACTAGTCCTAACATAAACTCTACTCATATACCAGCATATTCCAGAGGTTAATAGGAAGTGATTATTATCATTAATGACATAATAATATGCATAAAGATGGAAGCTTAAAATAATGAAAGAAATACTTTTCTCCAATTTCAGGAAAAAGTAAACTATCTATTTAGGAATTTAATTATGACTTGACTGTGGCCCTATCACCTCTATATTCATCTGCCCATTTATAAGTTTTTTGGACTTTTGTGTAATGTTTAATTACAATCTTAATTTATTATTCCTATCTTGTGGGGCTGGATCATGCCCTATGCATTGATTTTCCATTGTTGCACTAGAAAGTACCCCAGAAGTTAGTGATTTAAATATCAAATATTTACTATATCCTACTATATGTCTGCCAAGAATCTGTGTTTGACTTAGCTGGGTGCCTCCAACTCAGCTCCAGTTTTCTCATGGTTCAAGGTCTTTCACTGGACTGCAATCAAGGAATTGGCTGGGGCTGTGATCATTGGTCATCTCAAACCTCAACTGAGGGAGGTTTTGCATCCAAACTTACTCACAAGGCTATTGACAGGCCCCAGATCTTCACTGATTCACTATAGACATCACTTCCTTGTCAAATGGGCCTTTCCATAGGGCAACTCACAGAGTGGCAACTGGCTTCCCCCAAAGTGAGGGCTCTGAGAGAAAGTGAGAAAGAGATGGTACCCAAAATGGAAGCCCAAGTCTCCTTGTAATTTAATCTTGGAAGTGACATCCCACAGCTTTTCATTATTCTATTTGTGAGAAGAAGAAAATCACTATGTCTAGCCCACTTTCAAGAGAAAGGGATTATACAAGAACAGGACCACCAGGAGGCAGAAATCACTGGAGGTCATCTCAAGGCTGCCTATCACAATCTGGGCATCATGTCTATCTACAAAGTGATGAACAGAACGAAGTCCTTCATAAACACTTGTTAATTGACAAGTGTTTCTTTAAAATTAATGATAGCTCCATAGAAAAAAAGAAATATTTTTTCAGAATTTAATCTTTCTAACAACTTAATTTTAGAAAAATGTACTTATCTTTGAAAGGTGTTTGTATTATTTAGTATATTAGTACCACTAAATATTCTGACATGTCTTCAGGGAGTTAAATATAATTTGAACATATGAAAAGCAAAATTAGGTGATACTTCATTTTAACAAGATTATGCTAATAGGGTTTTGTTCCCTGTTTCTGATTTGAAATGCCAAATACTCTGATTTGAAATGCTTTAGTGTATTTGGTCCTCTTCTAGGTTTATTTTATCCTTAAGTTTTCTAACCTTTGTAAAGCTTATACAAATACCTTTGGCATTTACTTTGAGATTACCTAGAATTCCTAGAAAACAGACTTTCTGAATTTTTATTTCACATCAGAAGTGTCATCTGTAGAGAAGAACATCCCAATATTTATGAAATTAGATCTAGCCTGAGTATATTTTCAAATAATATACTTCTCAATTTGCTGGATAATGGAAAAGGTCACCAGACAAGTATATTTCTATCATTTTCTGATTCATTTCCCTGCCCCAATATTCACTTTTTAAGCAACATGATTGAGAAGAAAGAACAAACTATGGAGTAAGAAGTTGATAAATCCCAGTTTTAATACCTATTAAATGTGATGTTGGGCAATAACTCTGAAATAGACATGTCTCACATAGTTGTTAAGCCTAGATGAGATAAGATATATAAAATGTTTTATAAATTGACAAGTAATAAAGAATTTATTACTACTAGGCAACTGAAAAGACAGGAAAACATAGATGAACAATGTTGCCTAATACCTTGATACTTTAATAAACCAAGATTTCTGGATTATAAATAATACTCATTTTTACCATTTACTGAATGTTTTCTCTGGATCAGCTTCTGTGATAAACTTAGGGAATATGAAGCAGAAAAAACACAAAACTTGCCTTTGTGGCACTGATAGTTTATGGATGAAAACTGTAATACAACAAGACATTTAATAAGATAGGGGAAACATTCAACAGTCCAATACAAGACCAACTCATTAAGTCTTTAGTAAATAACTGTAACTAAATCTTGTCATAAGCCAATACAACCTCTTCCCAAATCAGCTCTGAGGGAAATGACTAGAGAAAGAATATCTTTAAATTGCATCATTCTGTAAGTTTCATTTCAGCATGTAATAAACTTTTCCAGATGCAACAGCAATTTTATTTGACACTCTTTGAGGATTCTCTTTAGACATGTGTTATTCATGGCAATAAACATGGATACTAAGGATGCTGAAATTTTAAGACTTGAAATTGACATAAAATTATTTCTTCCCAACTGTGCTAACAAGAGACAATGTTTCCTCATTCCTTAAACACCTAACTTCTTTAGTTGTGTGTATGGGCTGCTTTTTCAAGGAAAAAATAATTTAACCATTTACTTAAATAATAACAATGTGTCCTTTATAATAGTTGATCTTCAGATCAACTTATATTAGCTTTGGCTGGGTAACAAACAACCCACTAAACCAAGTGGTTTACATAAATAAACATTTCTTTCTCTCTTTCTCCTGTTGTGTGAGGCCTGTAGTTTGTGTGTAGCTCTGTTGTAGGTCTATGTATTAGCTGGAAGTCTGCTCCACTTGGCATTTTATTCTGTAATCAAGGCTGAAGGAACAGCTTCTTTCTGGGATGTTCTGTTCTTGCGGCAGTGGGCAAAAGCACAAGACAAATCAAGGTCAGTGTATCCATTTGCATGAAGGCTTTTGTTCATCCATATAGCATGCTGTGTATCCACTGAAAAGCCATTGACTAAAGTAAGTCACAGGTACAAGCCTGGTATCACTGGGGTGGGAAAGGAAGGTTACATTTTAACAAAATTAAAACCTACAATAAAACCCTGCAAGTAGGTAGAATAGAAAGCAGCCCCTCATTTAAAGATACACAAATCAAAATATACAACTTAAGGATCAGAATGGCTTAGTGGTTGAGAACATGAAATGTGAGTCAGATCTGAAGCTGATTCCTGGCTCAGCCACTTACCACCTTTGTGATCTTTGGCAATGACCTCTGGAAGTCATAATCCATACTTCAGGATAATCATCACTATTTCATCAGATAAAATATGTGAAGAATTCAGCACTGGGTCTAGAATAGAGCAATCACGTCCTAAATGCCACCTTCCCTTTCACTGAGATACACTTCCTAAGCCTTGGTGAGTGAGTGGGAAAACTCAGAACTGATGCTTCAGTCTTGTGTTCTTTCAAGATAACTGTCTCCATGATGGCTTTTCTCAGATAATAGTTTACTATTAAGTCTGAATCTGGTCAGTACTATAGTGTGATTTCTAAGACATTCTGCAGAACGGTTCCAAGAAAGTGTAAGAAATTTGGATTGGGGTTTATCTGCATCCCAATTTCATAAAGTATGGATAAACCAGAATGTTATGTTAGTTCTTTTTAATCACTTGCTAAATTGCCATATTCTTTCTTTTTATGTACACTGGTTTTAAAATAAATCATTTGACAACTTTTATTCTCTCTCACTGACTGGTAGGCCTTTTGTTAGTATTCTAATCAACTCCCTTGAGACTCACATTAGCACATTAGATATTTTCCTTCTTGAAATTCAACATTGAATAAATGTGTCTTTTAATTGGACTTTTATTAAATGAATGTGATCTTATTGAAAAAGGTGGTTTAAGTAACCTAGCTATTTCTCATTAAAAATAATTTTAAATATGAATTATACAAATCAATTACTGGTGTCAAAATATTTTTTTATGAAACAGTGGATAAAAATACTGGTTTGCAGGCAAATCCAGTGGTACAAGACCTAAACAAAGTTCTAATTAAAATAATGCCCAATAAATTGTTAGAAAAAACTAGTATGAATAATGTTTACTAAAATTAAAGAGCTCTATCAGGTTATTAAACTTTTCTAGAAATAGGTATTTTCTGATGTAGGATGAATTCTGAAATGCCAAAGGAACCAAGGAAAGAACAGCATAATATAGGACCTCTTATTTTTCAGTTGAATGGAACTAATTCACTAATGTGATCATGGTTATTTTGTTTTCCTGCATCCTCAACATCAAAATGTCAGTATTTTTATTACATATTTTTGAGACAGATTTTAGACAAGTTGCCATATAGAGCTACAAAAATTGAAAAGTATCACTTGACTTCATTTGGGACAACTGATGACCAAACAAACCATTTAAAAACAGACAATAATAAACAGTAAAATAAATAACCCAATAATAATTTTTTACAGTTTTTTTACAGTTAATAAACAGTAAAAAAAAAACCCAAAAAACAGATGATATGAAAACCAATGGTTAAATCTGTTATTTCTGACCAAAGTTGATACTATATTCTCAATAATACAAAACAATATTTTCCAGTCCACTTGCCTGGATAACTGTCTCCATACACACTCTGCAACACAAATACTTTTAAATAATTCCTCCTAACACCCAGCTGCTGAATTAGAAATTCTAAAGCAAATGTATAATGGGGCAGTCTCAGTATTGTGTTGGTTATGTGAGAACTAGAGGTATTAAGCAAACATAAACTGACAAAAAAGTAGTATGAAAGAACGAGAACGAATTCTATTTATCTTTCATCATCAGTGCCACCATTAATAAATGGCTTTTTGAATAATTAACCTTTAAAATTAGAGTTTTTAAAATCATGTGCTCAAGGATAACAACTGAGGCACTAGAGGAAAAACTTAGAGATTCTTTTTATATTCATTACTTAGATAATAAAAGAAATTAACATTACTAATGTTTCACATTCATATTAATAGTAGGGGAGTGTATAATTTGTAGCTGAACACACATGCATTGAGTTGTGGGTTCACGAGGCTACTGCTATTCAACATGGTGCCTTGAGTGAGTTAGACATAAACTTCCCTTCCTGCATCTCAGCTCCACAAGACATGCAGCCTGGTGACCAGAGTGCTCCGTGCATTTTGATCTCAATCTGCTCCTTGCGCACCTTTTGTGGTGCAGGACAAAGACCTGTACACATACATGGGGCGCCCTGAAACACTCAAAGCACTTTCCTAATGGGGTGAACAATCATTTTTCTAGCCTTGAACAAATCTTGGCAATTTTCAAAGTCATTCTAATTACAATCTTACAGTTTAAACTTCAAGTCATCATAGATCATGATTACTTCTAGATAGGCTTGACATTTACTTAACTAGTAAATAAACACAACTAAATAGTGGAAATAGTTTTTTGTTTTTTGTGTTTTAATGCCCATGGCCATAAGAACCCTATTTAGAACTTATTTATAAATTATTTAAACTCCGTGGGCTTTACTCAGGTATATAGTGAAATAATAGATGCTAATTTATATTTATTAAGCACTTATGTTAGCCAGCAGGTTTAAAGGGACATAGCCCAGTAAGGTGATGTTAGGGCTATCACCAATCAATTACTTATGATTAGTCCATCATCCATCCATTATTTAAAATGTACTTATTGAGCACCTATTATGTGTGCCCGTCTCTGTTCTAGGAACCGAGGATAAAACTACAAAGACACTTCAACTCCTTAAACTTCATGGGAGGGTGTCTTAAGGAATATATTCTTTCCAAAAATAATAGAATATAATTAAGTGATTTCTTCCCTTTAGTCCTACAATATTATTTTGCTGCTTTTTTATTTTTTTCTTTTTGGCACATTTGATGTTCCTATGTAGTTATTTATATGCCTGGAAGGTTTTTTCATATTTCTTAGATCATTTCACATTCTATAAAAGACTGCAAGGTTAGCAAATGTGAAGCTAATGTTATTTTTATACCAATGCACTTGGCTTTTACCATTTTATCCACTCACCTTGTATCATGTCTGATCCTGTGGAGGCTTTCAAGTCTTGACTTGAAGTCCACTTTATTTGCTACTGTGCTTAGTTAAAATCAACACACTGTAACACTAAGTAAAGTGGATACTGAACATAAAAGAGAAATGTTTTAAAATAACAATTTAAATTCCTGTGATGCAACCCAGTTTCCCATAGCTGTACCTTCTGCACAAACATATAGATTAATGAAACAAAATAGCAAGTGACTTTCTGGTGGACCAAATCCTGACAACTTCATACATCTAGAAAATGGAAGCAAAACAGGACGTGAACAATAGTAAAAGATCCTCAACATCTAAATTGGCATTCTTGTTATAAAAAGCTCATGAATTTTATTTCATGATTCAAGAAGAGAGAACAATCAGCAACTGAACTGTAGGGTATTTATACATCACTGAAAGTTCTGTTTCTATTACCTCCTGTCACCCTTAAATTCTTAGAATTGCAAAGGATAAGCACATGAAGCAATGAGGAAAAGGATTGAAGCTCATCAATATGGTTGTCCTGAAAAGTCAGAGAAGGAAAGAGAGCATCAATCAAAATGATGACTACCTGGAAGACAGACTGGAATCATTGGGTGTATAGCAGAAAATAACCTTTAATAGCCCAGCAACTCCTGAGGGCATTATTGTTCTACATTATATGATGATATATTCAAATGACTCAGTATTGTACATTCTCTAAATATTCAAGAAAGTGAGTAGACTTCTAATATCAGCACAGATATAATCAATGTTCTGTGACATTAATTTAACATTATATAATATAGAACATAAAACAAAAGTTAGACTTTTTTAAATGAAGGACAGGACTGCAAATTTTATATAACTATGTTATGACCTGATAATAATATAACACATATTTCTAAGTATATGACTCCCTGCCAAGATTAATAATGCCCTCAGACTGCTGTAAGCATGTTATACTTTGATAAGTTGCTAACGTAATTCCTGATAAGAGAAGAGAAAACTTTATCATTTAGGTAACAGATTATGGTACGATCTTTCAAATAACCAGATGACATTGTATATTTTATTGATTTGTTTGATTTCCATGTAACCAAAGATTAAAGATGAGATACTGAAGATGTGGTACATATACACAATGTTATTCAGCCATAAAAAGAAAAGAAATCCTGCCATTGTGACAACATGGATGGACCTAGAGGGTATTAATTGTTCAGTGAAATAAGCCAGGCAGAGAAAGAGAAGTACCATATGATTTCACTTATTTATGGAATATAAAAGCAAAACAGAATGAACAGAACAGCTGTACACTTATAGACACTGGAAAGTACTAGTGGTTACCATGGCAGAGGGGTTGGGG